AGGTAATGCAAAGATAAGGACATGCGTCGCTCACTCATAGATATATATGCTGCTAGACTTCTACTGCTTGAACATATATGCAACACGCCGCGGTTTCTTCGAAGCAAAATGCTCAATAACGCGCTGATTAAAGTCATGCATCCCAGAAATAACGTCTCTGTGAATGGATAAAACAGCCAAGGAATTTAATCTATCTTGCTTCATTGTGTTTCTGAGATACGTTTTAATACGCTTCAGCGTGCTGAATGTTCGCTCTGCGTCGGCGGAAGAAATAGGCGTCGTCGAAATGATGTCCAGAAATTTTGCAGACGCCGCAAAGGTAGTTACTAGTGTGTTATCTATGAGGAACCCATAGAGCGCGCAAGTTGATGTGATGTTCAAAAAAGTTTGATTGGTGTATATACATCGCAATTCATTTTTCAACATACCCACGTTAATCATGGGGTAAAATTTGGAGACAGTAGCCAACAAATGTATGGGAAATTGACGTGCAAATTTTAAAAAAATTTTGGGGTTCATCAAAGAGAACGCGGCAAGGTGTTCAGTGCGCAGACGATCGTCTATTTGATTCACCAGAATCTCACAGCATTCCTTTGCAGACAAAATCAAACGCTGCGTTGTTTGCCCGCGGCGTAAAGAAGCACTCCATGTGTCGTCGTATTTTATTGTTTCCCGGATACGAGATACAGCATCACAGAAGTCTGAAATACACGACTGCACAGACGCTCCATCCATTAGCCTTGACTGCAATGCGCCGTATAATACATCCACGTGATAGAATATTGTGGAAAAAAAAACGAGAAAAAATGAAAACTTACCATCTTCTAGCAGACGCTTTAGACCTGTAGTAAAAGAACAAGGATTAATTAATTTATCATCACAATCCGCGTCGCGTTTACTACTTTGTATAATGTTTCAGTGATTCGATTCAATTTCAGTCATGTTATGGTTTCTAATGCTAACAAGTGGGGCAAGGGGGACACGACATTCTGGAGACACCGCCAGGTTAGGGTTCAGGCTGTGCGCCATCTTGATGCACATACTTCGGGAACGCCCAAAACACCATGCATGTTTTAAAGCATCAATTCACTGTTCATTTCCTACTTCTTAAGTTTAACCAACTTTGTTAGTAAACTCAAATAATTTTAATTTTTACCTACTTCATCATTTATTCACATTGACAATAAACCCAGTATTCCCCCTCTCTGTCGACACATCCTACTTTATCCTTAGAATGTGAAGGACCGCAAAAGGAGCTTACAGTGTCCAAAACTACTTTTTACTTTTTAATCCAATCCTCTCGATAATTTGCTGGTAACGTATCATACATATACAGCCTAACTATGCCAATAGCGCCTCAGTCCATTTAGGTGGTACTATGAAATATACATATACCAGTTTATTGAATTTGGCTGTATATGCACACCTGGTTGGCTCCATTATTTATCAACAACACGAATCAACCAACCTCGACAAGCGAATCGATCCATACACATATTAACATATTCTTTTCTTAATTAGGATACTACCTAATATCAAAGCAATTGATATGCAATTCCCTATCGTTGCTCTATTTGGTATTGTCATTATATATAAACCATATAGAAGGAAAACGCAATACGCGTGTAAAAAGCAATCAACGTAATGCTCTCATATCTCAAAAAACCACGATTTCAATAAGTTATGTACTGCATGCGAGGTAACAAGTGCTGGTTCCAATTTGGGATATTTCTAACCCAATAATATTCGATAGATTTTGTCTACAAGGTGCAAAAATTGACTGATGTAGAAATCTTGTTGAGGGCAAATGACCAAACCATTTTAACTGCGATTGTTCGTGATTGCACGTGCCCGTCCGTGCAAATGTGCGTGGGTCCAACTGCCCTTGGGCGTATACAATGAGCTAGTGGTAAAATCTGTGGGCGCAAATGTATATTTGAAAATTTCCTTGGTTACAGAAGTCAAAGGGTGCCAAAATATGCACGTGTTCTAGGCTTATAGAGTCCTGGATTCAGTTTGCTCACATTATTTTTTTTCACTCACGTACATATGTGCCTAAAAACCTTCTCACCTACAGAAATTTGCATGAAATTAGTTCAGCACCCACGAAAAGATTACATTGATGTACATTTGTACCCACAGTTTGCACCTCTTTTCGTTTGCATCCAGTTCGATTGGAACTCATGGAAATTTGCACCCATTTACATTGGCACCCCACGGATATTTGCACTTATGGATACTTCTACCCAAGTGTATTTAACCCGAGGAAATTTGCATTTATGAATTTTTACACCCAAAAACATATGCTCCGATGGACATTTGAATCGACAATCATTTGTAGCGTACCGGCAGTCTCTGAAATAAATATTCAAGTTCAGAATATCTTCAAATATGGTCTGACGTCAAGTTTCCTCTCAATATTCACTTCAATTTATACTATTTTATTTATTATCCAACAATCTAAACACAACCAAATACTCCAAACAAAACGGCAAGCATACAATAAAGCGAATACAATAAAGTACCAGGCGGCACAATGCAAGAAAACAGAATATACACAACAAAAACATTTTGAACAGTACTGATGATAGCTTATTCCCTGACAACAACCAAAATACAACGCTAAAATAATTTCAATGCCTCTGTACTGAAACAATAATATCAGCCTACTGTCTAGCATAAAAACATTAAACAAATCCCCATCCCACAGTCAAAAAACCACAATAAAACTTCCCTGAAAACCCAACAGAGACCAGAGGCACTCCCACAGACACTCCTAACCAGAATCCAACCGAAAAGAACCACACTCAGACAACTGCACCCTGCCAACCACAGCACAAGCTAACAGGCACACCCAGAAAACAGATCGGCAGTGTCACAACGCCCCAAGTGTACCCCAATGCCAAAACACCAAATAAAGCAACAGTATCACATGACAGTACCTAACAGACAAAGCAAGGGTCGTCACATTACTAAACACTTCTTCCAAAGTCAGCTCCAATATATCTTCCAAAGTCAGCTCCAATATACGTTTTCTGGCTTTGCGAATTCTTTCTATTTAGTTTGTTGTCACAGCGCACCAGTCTAGCTTCCGGATGGGTTAAATCAGGGGATCGCAACCTGGGTTTCGCGAACCTCCAGGGGTTCACGAGAAGATTTTCTAGGGGTACTTGGATGAAAGTCAAGTTTTCGTGTGTTGGTTTTTTTTTAATATCCTCTAACAAAGAAAGTAACTACAAGGGGAAAATACTTGTCAATTGGAACTCAGCGTACATTTTCCCTGATCTTGCGTTGTGATTGTGACGCAACAATGTGAAATGCGCGGGTTGGCAGTCGTTGCAGCAAATTGTTAGTCAATATATCACAATTTATTCTGGTGTTTGATTACTGGGGGTTCGCGTTGATTGTTCCGTGACTCGGGGGGTACTTAAAAAGAAAAGGTTGAGAACCCATGGGTTAAACGAATATAGAATACATGTGGATTACTCAATGGCATTAGATGAATCACTGCTCTACTCTGCACTAAAAATAAAAACACTGAAGGAGGAAATTGGGATACTGATAGTTCCTTTGTTCCTCTAAAAGGGTTATTGATAAAATACTGTACATGAAGATGACTGGTACTCATATCGAAAATACAGAAATTTTCAGCCAAGTATTTACACATAACAACTTATCTAAGCTGTGATTACATATAATTACTCATTTAATTTTCTATCAATTAAATCACGGGATATATCATTATGGCGATTGTTTTAACACTCTAAAATGATTTCCCAAAATCTTCGAGACATCTAAATGTCTAGATTTTTTTAGTCTAGCTTCATATTTCAATGACTATCACTCAAAAAAATGTATTGCTAATTAATTTTACTTTAAAAGAGCTGCAAAATTAATTTTTATCCTTATCATCGAAGCTCGTTCCCCACGTGCAATTGGTTCACTTTTACGCCGTGTATTCATATGGGGCTAATTTTTTAGGACTTTTCAAGTTTCAATTATATTCCAATTTTCCCTTTGCTATGGCCGTATGATGACGTGGATACCGTAACCAAGATTAAACACACAATTTGTAATTTATTTTAGTCTACATTGATATATATATATATATATCTTTATGAGAAAAATTAATGAAGTCAAATACTGGCGACTGAAAATTAATGTGGGTGTACGAGGGTGCAAATGGATGTGATCTTGAAAGCATATAGGTGCAAATGCTTTGAGTGTAGTCTACATGTTCGAATGTACGTGGGCGCAAATGTTCTGGGTGCGAGTGTGATGTACCACGCAATAAAACGTTTGTGACTTCATTGCTTCGGGAAAAAATTAACTTTCATTATTTTTTGGTTCGCAATAATAAAAAGTTTGGAGAAACGCATTACGAACAAATAGAAATTCCACGGAATATCCATTCATTCCCATGAATCCGTTCTATTCACAGTTGTCTGACATAAATTTTCCTAGTATCGAACGCATATAACCTCATTTGTGCCTAACAAGCATGCATACGATTATGCGAACATTATGAAGAGCTTTGTTCTAAACCCGAGTGAATCTTGAGGCAATATAGCTATATCTTACCCAAATTATCACGCATCGAGTATGTTGGGCCTGCAAGTTCAAATCCTTCAACAACAATATAAACGAGAATATCGGTCATAGACCGAAGACTTATCGATGGAAAGCTAGGAGAACCCCTCAAAACAGCGCTCTTACTCCATAGTGACATCTTTTGTCCCATCACTAATTAATTAATATGACTCGCTAATTATACGACCTAATTTATTCAAAATCAATAGGCTTCTGGTCCGACATATGATGAATGCACATGCAAAATCTGGAGCAGATTCAATCTTGCTTTCGTATCGCTTTCGAGATATCGCGTGCTTCTAACAGACAGACAGCATGCAGACAGAAAAATTAAAATCAATAAGTAATAAAGTTAGACACAACTCGTGCACGTATAAATGCCTGAATGTTGACAAAAATCCAGATATATCTCATGGTTCTCAACCCTTGGAGAGTTCGGTTTATTTAAGAATATAATTCATAATATACAGTGTGAAACAAATATGTTGTGCTGATGAAAATACATAAACAACAAAAGTATTTTCGATAATAACTATTTTTTCTTTATTAAATATTATACTAAACAAAGAAAGAGGGTTATTTTGCTGAAATCACAATAAAACTCCAAACACATATTATTGACCAGAAAACATATATTGATGAAAAGGCAAATTTAGATCGGAAAGTGTCGAAGAAGGATCTCGCTAGTGCCGATTGCATTATAAATTTTTGCCATACTGTAGAAAGGTTTGCTGAATATGTTTGTGTTATGTCCAGTCAACTTATTGAAATCCTATACAGACGCAACTAAGCAGCTTCATGTATGGGCCGTACAAAATGTACTAAACTAAGCGTCATACGAAAGCAATAAACTTGACGAGAATAAATAACATTCGATTGCTTTAAAGACAAGCTTGACTTCTAAACAACTACACATCGAAATTGCCACAAAAATATTGTTTGTATAAAATGTTTAAAATGCAGTATTACATTCCGTTCTGCATCCATATTTGGCACAGATGCACGAATTTTATGATTAACGTTATATTATAATAAAATTGATTAAGGTTTAAGTTGAAAATCATTAGTCATGCAATCGCGGCGTATATTGTCTTGTTATTTTAAGGGCATCAGGTATTGCCGAAAGGTAGTCTTTTTAGTATCTTAAAACTTTCCACAGAAACATTATTAATCGACCTCTTTCAACAAAGACGTTTTTTCGTCCACATTTAGACTTTTATCGGGGGTTGAATCATTCATCTGAGTCGATGTTTTGACGGGGACAAGTTTTTTATATGTAAAACACAATACAATCAGTGACACAAGCAATAAAAAAAGTACCACGCCACTCAGAATAGGCAAACGCTCAATAGTTACCATTGAGGTTGACAACAGTGGGCCAACGATTCTACCAGCGCCAGCAAACATTAATAATGCTCCCTGATTGAAACTTTGTGTTTCGATGGAAGTTATCTTTGAATAAAGTGAAATTATGGAAATATTCATAAGCGGAAATGATATTATCAAAATAATCCAATCAGTCCAAAATACTGGCAAAAGCCATTGAACGTTGCCAACAGCTTCTTGGAGAAATAATACGATAGAATAGACGTTGAGGATTAGATAGGAAACTAATGCGACTGAGCATCCCATCAGCAAAATTACCCTGTCGGTGACTTTTCGGTTACAAATACCAATTACAGCATATGATATACAAACTGTAATAGCACCAGCGCAAAACATAAGACTATTGCTAACTCCTCCCCAGCCGAAAAAGAGCAAACTCATTGGTGTTGTTGCTGATTCGAAACAAGTGACGGCCGCCCATGCGCTGAAGTTTAGCAAAAGGCAAACAAGAATTTCCTTTCGAAAAAATTCCTCTCGAAAACTTTTTAGTTTCTGAATTTCCGACGTCGTTTTAAGAACAACAGTTTTGTGCGAAGGGTCATCATGCTTCTGTACGGGGTCATTAATGTCTATTTCTTTATCCCCATAGTCTTCAGAAACATCCCTAAATAGGGCTAACACAAACAATGTGTGTAATACCCACATAATAGCCAGAAGAAGTCCAGGAGAAGAGAATTGATCCACAGCAAACGGGCCAAGTTTGAAATTTATTCGACTCAATATCAAATTGAAACCAGGCCCAATAATGACACCTATTTCCCGCATGAATACGACTAACGTTATTACTCCAGTTCTCTGTTTTGTCGTTGTCGTCCTTACAACCATGCCGAGGTACGACGAACTTGCTCCATTTCCGAGTCCGGTTATAAGTCTTGCACCCAATAATAGTCGATAGTCTCTGCCCACGAAGTAAAGAAAGTTTCCCACAATCCCAAATAAACAGCTAACAATGGCGCACAGTTTATTTGCGTTAGTTTTATCAGCTATTCGTCCATATACCGGTGATGATATTAATCCCGTAAAACTGAAAGCTGAGATAGTAATTCCAAAAAAGGCAGTAGGTCCATCCAAGTATATAAGATATTCATTTAATGTCGGTAGAATGACAGCAAATTCAACTCCGAGTAAAAAGAAAAAGAAACCAGCACAAAATAACCTCCCACAACCTTTTAATATACAAATCATGTTACTTTGATTTCTTAGTTTATCCTGCAAAATATACAAATACTGCAGTAATTCACCAGGTAAATCATTCGCATAAACATAAACAAAATTTGTTTTATTATGGAAACTAATAATATTTCCTCAGGATATTCTCCATTTACCTTTTCTATGCGTGGTGCAAAACAGTGTGTCATATACTATTTTACCCTGAACCTTTAATAGTAGGAGGTATAGGATATCCTTAATGGAAGTATCCTAAACCCTGCGTGGGTGGTTCACGTAACCGCTGGTCGGTTACGGCTTCATCCACCATAAAGTCCATGCGTCATAAAACAAATGACTGGCTTATCTATATCAACGGTGGGCATACCGCGTCTTTTCTCGCTAGTATTAATTATCAACCAAGTTTAACTAAGAGAAACATTTTTTGTTCAAACTTATTATTAAGCAGTAGACAAAGTTTTCATCAATGATTAAGACAAATTATGTTTTACTGTAGTGTGAAAATCGTTGTAGCGTGGAATTTTAAATCAGCCAAGTGAAAAATATTATGTCATAATGGTCAAATGTTTGTTGCTGCGTTGGCAGTATTGCAGAAGAAGAATACGCTTTCACTAGTCAATAAAATAAGCCTTTGTGCTCAATCTCTGATAAGCTGTTAAGTCAGAATAAAGCAATGGCACCATGAAACGAATCACAAATTTTTTTTACGAGACTACCCTCGTAAATCAGCAGTGAAACACAGACTAAATGAGTTCAAAATATTACTAAAAAGAGCAAAAATTTATGGTATCATTTGGCAAGGAATCAGATGCAAGAACTTAAGGTAGTTTTGTTATATCATGGAATATTACTCATGCTAAACACCCATACACCGACTGCTATTTTGTAAAATCAAAAATATCGCTGATGTTGTCGCAGTCAATAGCCCAAACGTCGGTTTTGTGCGCATTACACCAAGGCGCATCTCCCAAATTAGTACCAATGTAAGAGTTATAATACAAAATGATTTAATGAGCTGTAGTATTAATAATTTGAAAAATTATGCGATTCTCACATGGTTCTGTCTTGCTGTATGCGGCTCTTATACTAAAAAAGTTCCCACTCCTGCTCTATATGCACTGGTAACCGGACGAGAGGCCGCGCGGTTCGCCACATGATTAAGCCGTATCACCTTCCCTCTTTCCCGGGATAAATATGTAAATCCTGTACTAAGCTAATAAACATGAACTATAACATTGTTATGGCGGTATTTGAATTGGTGATCTCGCCTTACACTAATTACATACTCGTGTTGATTGACAAACGGAAACGAACACTTGTTGTTGTTGTTATGTTTTATGGCATTTATAACTTCCGTGGTCTTTCGCGCCATTGATCAATTCAAATTAAAAATCCAATACTAACATAACATACAATATTTACAAATAAATAATTATAAAAATAAATCGATTACAAGTAACTAACGCTTAATATTTCTGCCCGTAGACAAAACAAGTTCAATAACAGTTTCAGTAATTTTTATGTTACTAAGCACTTTTTACAAAGTCAGCTCCAATTTATGTTTTCTGGCTTCGCGAGAGGCTTTTCTCTATTTAATTAGTTGCCACAGCGCACCGGTCTAGCTTCCGGATGGGTTGAATGAATATAGAATATATGTGGATTACTCAATGTTATTGGATGAATCACTGCTCTTCTCTGCACTAGAAATAAAAGTCTGAAAAGGGAAATTGGGATACTGATAGTTCCTTTGTTCCTCTGAAAAGGTTTATTGATAAATACTGTACATGAGGATGACTTGTACTTATATCGAAAACTGCACTGCCTAGTTGAAAACACAATCTCACTAGTAACCATGTGAACGTCCTTTACTAATACACACTCGCTGTATGTCATGTTACAATAGACAGGTCTCACATATTTCACAGAAGATCGTTCAAGTTTTTTGCAAAAAACCCACCACTAATGCAAAAATGTAAGATTTGAGATAAATACCACCGCCACGTTTTAAAATAGAAAATTAGTAATTATCCATTTGAGATTAGGGTTAGCTTCAGGAATGATTTGAAATTAGAATTTCCAGCAAAATCTGCCTTCGTAACCCTAAGTGGATAATTGATCATTTTCCTATTTTTATCGTTTGTGGGGGCTTTATAAAAAATATTCTATCGTTCATTTACTTGACTGCACCAAACGAACCTTCAATCCTTACAACCCTTTCTTGCCTGTGATTTGTATTCACGAAACACTATTCAAAGCTGTCACTCATACGTCTGCAAACCTATACAGAACACGACGAGGCAGAAATATCCGGGACGTGATGAATGCGTTACAATGTTAATTAATGCATTAATGTGCCATAATGTATTAATGCATTTATTATATATTTGTTTATGTTAAACTCCGGAATAGCCACGACGCACGACCAGGAAACTCAAGAGACATTGATATTAGGAATAGTTGAGTGCATTTTTAGCTCTAACCTCACGATTTCAAGCGAAGTGCTATACAATTATTATGCTAAGTTTTATGTCCATAAGACACAATAAATTTTTTCTTTTTATTTGCACCACTAATTCTCTACTACAGCGGTTCCCAAATGGTGCGCCGCGGCGAGTTGCCAAGTGCGCCGAGAAAATTAACAATTGTATTAAACATTATTGAAATATAATTGAATATTATAAATTTTTTATTGTTTCTTATCTTAAACGCTGTGTATATTGATTTCACTTTACATTTCTATGTCGCTTACTTTCTGGAATGTAGTGCCTGCCTCGTACGTAACAATGGAGATAGACACTACTTGCTGCGATTTCGCACGCTGCAGATTATTTATTTACTCAATCGAGTTTAGCAAACGAGAATGATTTTTTGACATTTCCGAGGAAAATCAGGCCGAAGAGCTCAACTTTTGCCTTTCTTTCCAGGGCCTACATGTTTACAAACTTTAAAAGGCATAAACTACACATTTACGATCACAAAATTGAGTTTTATTTGAAGGTAGCATTTTTTTTCGTTGGTATATGACAGGGGTGGGCAAAATCCTTTAGAAGCATAGCTGCATGCAGCAAGTCAAGAAATATGTGAGAGCCCCATAATTTTTGAAATCAATAATATTAGAATACCGTAAACTGAAAGCAACTTTACACAAACGTATAATAACAATATTACAAAGTATATATATTCTTTAACCGCTTAATGAATTGAAAAAAACTGTTACGCTACAGTTTCTCTTAATTAAATTTGGATAATATATAATTATTGACAAGAGTCGCATAAAAACTCCGGCGAACCGCAGCCGCGGTTTGCCCACCGTTGGTATTCGGCATACTGTTTGATACTCACCACGCGTTTTATTTATGAGAATAAATGTATAGCATGCGGAAATGTTATTAATTTTCATATGAATACGATTTTTTAGGTTTATGCGAATATTTTACCTGGTGAATTACTGCAACATTTGGTATATTTTTACACGTATTAATTAATAAGAATGTTAGAATAAAACAAGTTTTATCGTACAATCGGATGAAAATGTTGTATTTTGAAATAAAATTTGTCAAAAAATGAGAAATTGATTTTAGTTTAAATAGTTTTTTCCTGTCTGTAAGTGAGTTATGAGTTATGTTATGTAACGGTGAAACAAAACTATGGATTTTTTTCCGTAGAATAGTTCGTTTGTTAGACAACTGTTGTTCAAATATTATCAAAAGGTATTTATTTGCTTAAAAGATCAGAATATCAGATCGTATGAAATGTTAGAGAGCAAGTAAAGCGCTCGAACTTCATATAGTATTTACATATTTATCTCGTGGAGATGGAAGCCGATGGGTTAAACATATCGCGAACCACGGCCTCTCGTCCGGTTACCAGATGATGTCGGGTATGATTATTTGGCTAGCTCAGGGTGGTCCGAACCTAGACCCGCGGGCCACATGTGGCCCGCCGCTTCATTATCTGTGGCCCGCGTCACATTCGGAGAGTAATCAAAAAATCGCATTACGTGTTGTTTCGTCATAAAATTAATCAGAAAAATCTTTTGACATATTATCATCACTAATGTCACTGAATTAAATAGTGTTATGGCTAGTCGGGGAAATTAGCAAAGTTGAATGATGTGCTTGGCAGTCTAAATTTTTATCTGGCTTTCTAACTTTTTGGTCGGGAATATATGCTAACAATATAGGCATCATAGAAAACTAAAAATCGAATACGGATTATATTAGCCTAGAATGGCTATGCCTGATAACTATGTGATTGCACAAAAGAAGTGTTTGTTTTGTATTGCACTGTTTACCTATTCTTGGCACTATGGTGGCCCGCGAACAATGCAAAAATAATTGTGTGGCCCGCGGAGCCGACAACCTTGGACCACCCTGGGCTAGTTATTTGTTTTTGGAAGCATGGACTTGATTGTGGAGAAAGCCGTATCAGACCAGTGGTCACCCTACGGCGGCGAGGAGCCCAGCAATCCTAGCCCCGTTCACTGTCTGAATTTATCAAGTTTGTGAGAGTCTGACGAAAACTCAGGAGTATGTTGTGACCAGAAACACCACGTTTCGGTCTCACTCTATTATTGTAGTATATCATCAATATGTTGCAATCCAGATACCTCTTTATATAAAAATATACAGTATGTTTTCTATAAGAAATTTTATCTGTAAGATTCACTAGCCAATGTTTATTTTTTTGGAAGAACAAAATTTGAACGAGTTTAGCTATCAGCGTTGAAGGCCGATTTTCACGCAAGCACCCTTCACCCCTACTTTCTCATAAGTTGTGTTAAGTTGTAAAACGTGTGAGGCCATTCATTATGGTGACATGTTATATCTGGTTCTATTTATAACTAATGAACCATAATCTGGTATATTTATTGTACGTGTTGCAACAAGTATATAGAGTTGAGCTGACAGTCAATTTCAAAGCTATGCGGCTAAAATACTTAACATCGGGTTAATTAGTTATCTTGCATGGGCATTTGAAAATGTCGGCTTTACGTGCTTGCGGATATCGAAACGCTCTGTTGCATTTGCGTGATAAACGTAATGTCGTACCTGACGTAACGTCGCATTTCGTTATTGGTAACGTCGTAACGACGCTGTCAAGAGTAAAGAATATTAAACCTATTTGCATATCAAATTTGAATGACTCGTCGCAAAATCGCTGAGAAAGTGTCCATAGAAAGATATTCAAACTCTCTAGATATATTTTCGATTGTACATTAAGTTTTATGTTGTTTAAAATTTACTTCTACTTAATAATTTCATAAGCACTTTAATTAGTAAATTTTTCTAGGACAATCATAAAATATAAAATCAATGTTCACGACATAAATACTGCCAATGACCAGCTTTCATGCCGTAAAAAACTTATTTAAATACTCATCGCGTTTCTTGAGATATGGAAGCATAAAGTTAGCTGCTTTTTACGTGAGGCGCAATCCGGAAAACCGCCTTCCATGGCCAGAGAAAGTTCATCCTTCTATCTGATTTAAATATAAGAACCACACCAAATAGAGCGTTAAACGGAAGCAATAAACTAAACGATAGGAAATTGCATATCAATTGCTCTGATATTAGGTGGTATCTTGATTAAGAAACACTATACTGCACTACAAGCTCATTTAGCGGACCTTTACATTTTAAGGACAAGATAGGAGGTGTTGAGGGGGGCTTTCTGGGTTTATTGTCAAGCCGAATATTGTTGAAGTCAGTAAAATTGAAATTATTTGAGTTCACTAACAAAGATGGTTAAACTTAGGAATGATGAAATGAACACTAAATTGATGTTTTGAAAATTTCTGTTATTTGTGCTGTTGTGTTGGCAGGGGGTGAGTAGATACACAGGGTGTCCATAAAGTCCTTTTAGAATTTTAATCTTAACCAGATTCGTTGTTTTTTATTCAGTATTGTTAGGGTATTTTCACCTCAATTGATACATCTGTGAGGACCAAAATATAGTATCGATAAATTCCCTTTGAAAATTTGAGAAATTTTATGACTTTTGTTGTATGCATTCATTAATAATCCAACGTCCCTACAAATTGAAATTGACAATACACTCTTTTGTGTGATATTCTAGGCAGTGGCGTATCTACGTAGAATGGCGCCCATGGCAAAGTCTAAAAATGCGCCTCTTGATAGTTGTTTGACAATTTATAATGACTCTTATTGAATTGAGGTACTTGTACGTTATTATTTGAGTAAAAATACGAGTTTCAATTGTTCCCAATCTGAAATTATTTCATTGAAACCTTTCATGATTAATACTTTTTTGCAGTCTTTGCGCCCCTGCTCAAACGGCGCCCATGGCACGAGCCATGGCTGCCACATCCTAGATATGCCACTGATTCTAGGACTAGGCAATAAAAGATAAAATTTGATACCAAAGGTATATCAACAGGAATAAATAATTGTCCTACTCCCAACCGAGTTTTGAAGTTTTATTTTTACTTAAAATGTGTTAGATGGAAACAAGAATATCCTAGTATTGGAAATGGATACCAGCACACGGCGCTTTTTAATTGTCGCGTTCATTAATCATAATAGCAATGTCTAACAAGGCAACCGAATAAAACAAGTCAGAATTATAATATTTCAGTAGATAATTGGTAGCGCAAATAAAAATCTATATTTATAGTGACGAATGGGCATAAAACTTATCCCAACAATTGTATAGCAGTTCATTTGAAATCGTGGCGCAACTGCCAGAAATGCTTAAACTATTTCTAATAGTAATATCTCCTGAGTTTCTCGGTTGTGCGTCGTGGCTATACCGGAGTTCAATATAAACAAATATATAAACACATTAAAGCACATCAATACATTATTAACATTGAAACGCATTCATCACGTTCCGGATATATTGTCGCCTGTTCTGTATAGGTTTGCATGCGTGTGAGTGACAGCTATGAATCGTGCTTCGTAAAAGCAAATCACAGGTAAATGAGGGTTGTAAGGATTGCATGTTATTTCGGTACAGTGTTGCAGACAAGTAAAAGAACGATAGGATCTTTTGTACAAGGCCCCTGCCAAGGATCAAAATAGGAAAATTATTAATTATCTAGTTAGGGATAGGAATGCAGACTTCGCTGAGAATTCAAATTTTCGAATCATTCCTAACTCTAATTCCAACTGGATAATTACTAATTTCCAAGTTTAAAACGTGGCGGTGGTATTTATCTCAAATCTCATATTTTTGCATCAGTGACGGGGGCTTTGTAAGAAAGATCTGAACAATATTCAGTAAAATATGTGAGACCTGTTTATTTAAACATGACATACCGCGACCGTATATTAGTTTAGCAAGAACAAATTTGAACAAGTTTAGCTATCTTAGCTTTGAAGGCAGGTTTTCACGCAAGCCTCCTTACTTTCTCATAAGTTATGTTAAGTTGTAAAACGTGCGAGGCCATTCATTATGGTGACATGTTATATCTGATTCTATTTATAACTAATAAACCATAATCTGGTCTATTTATTGTACGTGTTGCAACAAGTTTATAGAGTTGAGCTGACAGTCAATTTCAATGCCATGCGCCTAAAATTTTTGGTATTTTTGCTGTTGTGTTGGCAGGAGGTGAATAGATACACAGGGTGTCCATGAAGTCTTTTTACAATTTCAATTTTGTTATGAAGTCAGTTTTAATATATCTTAACCAGATTCGTTGTTTTTTATTCAGTATTGTTAGGGTATTTTTACCTCAATTAATACATCTGTAAGGACTAAAACAAAATATAGTATCGATAAATTCCCTTTGAAAATTTGAGAAATTTTATGACTTTTGTATGCATTCATGAATAATCTAACGCCCCTACAAATTAAAATTGACAATACGCTCTTTTGTGTGATATTCTAGGACTAGGCAATAAAAGATGAAATTTGATACCAAAGTTATATCAACAGGAATAAATAATTGTCGCACTCGCCACCGTTTTTTGAAGTTTTATTTCTACTTAAAATGTGTTAGATGGAAACAAGAATATCCTGGTATTGAAAATGAATATCATCAGCACACGATGCTTTTTAATTGTCGCGTTCATTAATCATAATAACAATGTCTAAAAAGGCAACCGAATAAAACAAGTCATAATTATAATATTTTAGTAGATAATTGGTAGCGCAAATAAAAAGCTATATTTATAGTGACGAATGGGCATAAAACTTATCCCAACAATTGTATAGCACTTCATTTGAAATCGTGGCGCAACTGCCAAAAATGCTTAAACTATTTCTAATAGTAATATCTCCTGAGTTTCACGGTCTTGCGTCGTGGCTATACCGGAGTTCAATATAAACAAATATATAAACACATTAAAGCACATCAATACATTATTAACATTGTAACGCATTCATCACGTTCCGGATATATTGTCGCCTGTTCTGTATAGGTTTGCATGCGTGTGAGTGACAGCTATGAATCGTGCTTCGTAAAAGCAAAGCACAGGTAAATGAGGGTTGTAAGGATTGCATGTTATTTCGGTACAGTGGTGCAGACAAGTAAAAGAACGATAGGATCTTTTGTACAAAGCCCGCGCCAATGATCAAAATAGGAAAATCATTAATTATCTAGTTAGGGATAGGAATGCAGACTGCGTTGGGAATTCAAATTTTCGAATCATTCCTAACCCTAATTCCAACTGGATAATTACTGATTTCCTATTCTAAAACGTGGCGGGGGGGGGGGGGGGGGGGGTAATCTCAAATCTAATAATTTTGCATCAGGCTTTGTAAGAAACTTCCGAACAATATTCAGTAAAATATGTGAGATCTGTTTATTTTAACATGACATACCGCGACCGTATATTAGTTTAGGTAGTTTCAGGATTGACTAAGGTAGATGGTGTTTTGAACAGGGCATTGCAGTAGACCAACAAAGAAACTAACAATTTTCCAATACCCTCTTTCGGACCTCTTGAAGTATGCGCACCAAGATGGCGCAAACCTGAACTCAGGTTGTGTACCAGGTTAGGGTTCAGGTTATGCGACATCTTGGGGCGCATACTTCAGGAGTACCCATTTTTCAGTGTTTTTTGTTTCTATTCCAGAGCAGTGCTTCATTCAATAATATTCAGTAATACAACATGTATTTTGAATATATTCAACTCATACAGAATTTCAACTTGTGCGCTAACCAAATGAATGGTGATGGTTTTTGTTAAATTAACACGTATGTCTAATAAGTAATGTTTTTAGATACTCATTCCATACAGGATACCCTATACTCATTGCCGAATATTTAAAACTCAGGAGCACCTAACTATTTTTATTACTTTGCTATTGCTGTACCTCGTCTCATATATGCAAAAATTCGGATCAAATGTCATATATATATATATAAGTGAATACTATTTTTGCACCACGCTTTGAAAAAGTAAATGGAGTATTATATCCTGAGGAAATATTAATATCCATAATAAAACGATTTTGTTTATGCTTACGCGAATGTTTTACCTGGTGAATTACTGCAATATTTTGTATATTTTACAGGATAAACTTAGAAATCAAGATAACATGATCTGTACATTACAAAATTGCGGGAGGTTATTTTGCGTTGGTTTATACTTCTTTTTAGCCGGAGTAGAATTTGCGATCATTCTACCCACATTGAATGAATATATTATATACTTGGATGGACCTACGGGTTTTCTTGGAATTATCATCTCATCATTCAGTCTTGCTGGACTAATATCAGCACCGATATATGGACGAATATCTGATAAATCGAACGCGAATAAACTGTGCGCCATTGTTAGCTGTTTATTTGGGATTGTGGGGAATTTTCTTTACTTCGTAGGTGGAGATTATCGAATATTGTTGGGTGCAAGACTTATATCTGGACTTGGAAATGGAGCCAGCTCGGCGTACCTCGGCATGATCGCAAAGACGACAACGACAAAACAGAGAACCGGAGTAATAACGTTAGTCGTATTCATGCGGGAAATAGGTGTCATTATTGGGCCTGGTTTCAATTTGATATTGAATCAAATAAATTTCAAACTCGGCCCGTTTCCTGTGGATCAATTTACCTCTCCTGGACTTCTTATGGCCATTATGTGGGCAATACATACATTGATTGTTTTAGCCCTATTTAGAGATGTTTCTGAAGACTATGCGAATGAAAAAATAGACATCAATGACCCCGTACAGAGGCATGATGACCCTTTGCAGGAAACTGTTGTTCTTGAAACTGTGACGTCAGCAAATCAACCCCCAAAAAGTTTTCGAGACGAATTTTTTCGAAAAGAAGTTCTTGTTTGCCTTTTGCTAAATTTTAACTCATGGATGTCCCTTACATGTTTCGAATCAGCAACAACACCAATGAGTTTGCTCTTTTTCGACTGGGGAGGAGTTAGCAATAGTGTTATGTTTTGTGCTGGTGCTATTACAGTCTGTATATCATATGCTGTAATAGGTATTGCTAACCGAAAAGTCACCGACAGGGTTATTTTGCTGATTGGTTGTTCAGGCGTAATAGTTTGTTATCTAATTCTTAACGTCTATTCTACCGTCTTATTTCTTCAAGAAGCTGTTGGCCACGTTCAATGGCTTTTGCCCGTATTCTGGACTGATTGGATTATTTTGACAATATCATTTCCGCTTATGAATATTTCCATAATTTCACTTTATTCGAAGATAACTTCCATTGAAACACAAAGTTTTAATCAGGGAGCATTATTAATGTTTGCTGGCGCTGGCAGGATCGTTGGCCCACTGTTGTCAACCTCAATGGTAACTATTGAGCGTCTGCCTATTCTGAGTGGCGTGGTACTTTTTTTATTGCTGGTGTCAATGATTGTATTGTGTTTCACATATAAAAAACTCATCCCTGCAAAAATATCGACTCAAATGAATGTTTCAACACTTGACAAAAGTCTAGATGTGGACGAAGAAACGTCTTTGTTGAAATAGGTCAATTAATTATATTTTTCTTGAAGGTTACGATGCCAAAAAAGACTGCTTTTCGCAATTTCTGATGCTTGAAAGGTGATAAGGCAATATGCGCCACGACTGCATGGTTAATGGTGCTCAATAATTAATCTCTATCAATTTCAACTATATTATAATATGATATTAATCATAACATTGTTTGCATTTGAGTCAAATATAGATGGAAAAGAAATGCAATACTGCATTCTAAACATTTTATATATAAATATATATTTATATATATATATATATATATGTATTGCTGTGGCAATTTCGATAATTAGTTGTATACACAAGTCAAGCTTGCTTTCAAATAAACTGGATGTCATTTCCTCTCGTCAAGTTTATTGCTTCCGTTTGACGCTTAGTTTAGTACTTTTTTGTACGTCCCATCCATAGAGCAGCTAGCTCAGTTGCGTATGTATAGGATTTAAATGTGGTGATTGAACATTACAAATTTGGCAATCCTTTTTATAGTATGGCAAAAATTTATAATGAAATTAGGTCTTGCTAAATCTCTCTTCGGTACCCTCGTAGTGTGTGTAACAGGGTTAGGCCATAATTTGATTCCGATTTTTTTATTTTCCTATTTCAAGACTGTTCGTGTCAGCCAAGTGAATATACCCCCTATCCATAGGTTTTAGTCCTTTTACACAACTTGGTGTAAAGTAGGCGAACAAAATTAATTACCTCCATATTGGTACACACACTTCTGGAACGCCCTTTCTTCGACACTTTCCGATCCACATTTGGTTTTTAATCAATTTGGACTTTTATTGTGATTTCAGCAAAATATCTTTTTTTTTGTTTGGTATATTATTGAAAATAGAAAAAATGGTTATTTTCGAAAATTCCTTTGTTGTTTATGTATTTTGTCCTCCAACACAGCACACTTGTTTCATACTGCTTGTTATGAAATACACTTAAATAAATCTGAACTGCCAAGGACTGAGAATAATGAAATATGTCTTGATTTTTGTCAACATGTCTATAGGTGCACAAGTACCCACCTTTATTTAAATTATTGTTGTAGGATTTGAACTTACATGTCCCTAGCATACTCGATGCGTGACAATTTGCGTGAGCTATAGCTATTGCCCAAGATATCGTTCACTATCGTTTAAAACAAAACTCTTCGTAAACATAATGTTTGCATAATTGTACGCATGCTTATTAGGCACAAAATGAGGTTACATGCTTTCGATACTAGGAAAATTTATGTCAGACAACATCCGCAACGTAAAAAGAATGAAAAATAACTGTAAAACACCATCCCTTATAATAATGCTGGATAAAAATTATTTTCCAAAGCAATAGAGTCACAAACGTCTTATTGCGTTGTACATCCCACTTAGACTTAGCACATTTGCGCCCACTCACATTCGAGCCCGTAGACTGCCCTCAGAACGTTTGCATCTGTATAGCTTCAAGCTCACAACCATATGCACCCTCGGACAATAAAACGCATCCACATTAATTTTCACTTGCGAGTATTTGATTTCCATATATTAAATGTGGACTAAGATGAATTATAAATTGCGTGTTCAATCTTGGTTACGGTAGCCACGTTTTTAAGTGATAATTATATCCCAATGTTTTCTATGATATGTCCTTATGAAAATTAGCCCCAAATAAATACACGGTGTAAGAGCAAACCAAATAAACGTGGTAAACACGCTTCAATAATCAAACGAAGATAAGAGACCATAGAGCGATGCTCAATTATACAGACACGAAGACCAAAACGAGGCAGTATGAGTATCTAATCTTATTCCACAGGGCCCACGGAAATTTTTTGAAATAAATTGAAGGAAAATTAATTAAGTAATACTGGAAATTTCAAATCAACAATTAGTCCATTATTCAAAGAGAAAAGCGATATTTCATAAAAACAAGAGTAAAATTCAAACAATAAAATAACAAAACGACCCATAGGCCCATTTCGTGTCCAACAAGTAGAGAACGGTAAATTTAATAGCAAAATTTGTGTCGTGCAAGTTACTCGGGAAAATTCAGGCTTATTTTGTATTGTTACGACTGTTTTATCGTATTGCTTGAACTGAGTTATAGCAATAATGCCTAGTTTACTTTAAAAACTGGTAGGATTGTCCCCGTCGAGCCATGATAAAAAAAAATAATTGACATTTTGCATGAAACACAAAATTCCTGCAAAAATGATTATCGATCCGAATGCCCATTAGAGCATATGTTTTTGGGTGTAAAAATTTATGGATGTCCTCGGGTTAAATAAACTTGAGTAGAAATATCCATGGGTGCAAATATCTGTGTTATATTTTTTAAAATAAATGAAATTTACAGGTCAATTTCTTGCATTCTAAAAGTAACTCTTTTTAAATAGTTTTTGGAAATTTGAGCAAGATTAAATAAATTTGTCTTTCTTTCAACACCTCCAATAATCAAAATCTAAAATATCTGCTTCTCTTTAAATATAAGATTCAAAAACATACTACAGGCTGAATCTGAAAGACTGTTATAGCTAAATGAAACTAAACCAGTCATGTCAATATAGTGGATGATGACAAAAGTCTGAACAGTTTAACCTAAATCAAAATGTTTACATTTACTCTTTGTGCTCGCAGTTGTAATAATAGTCCCTAAAATATTTCTCCGCTTTTCCCCCTCAAATAGATGACGCTCAAATATAAAAAAAAAAATAGGTTGCGAGGTTGGCGGGCCACAAACCTACTGAGGATGTCTCGCGGCCCGCAGTCGGAGAAAACCCAAAAGTGGAATTATCATCTCATCATTCAGTCTTGCTGGACTAATATCAGCACCGATATATGGACGAATATCTGATAAATCGAACGCGAATAAACTGTGCGCCATTGTTAGCTGTTTATTTGGGATTGTGGGGAATTTTCTTTACTTCGTAGGTGGAGATTATCGAATATTGTTGGGTGCAAGACTTATATCTGGACTTGGAAATGGAGCCAGCTCGGCGTACCTCGGCATGATCGCAAAGACGACAACGACAAAACAGAGAACCGGAGTAATAACGTTAGTCGTATTCATGCGGGAAATAGGTGTCATTATTGGGCCTGGTTTCAATTTGATATTGAATCAAATAAATTTCAAACTCGGCCCGTTTCCTGTGGATCAATTTACCTCTCCTGGACTTCTTATGGCCATTATGTGGGCAATACATACATTGATTGTTTTAGCCCTATTTAGAGATGTTTCTGAAGACTATGCGAATGAAAAAATAGACATCAATGACCCCGTACAGAGGCATGATGACCCTTTGCAGGAAACTGTTGTTCTTGAAACTGTGACGTCAGCAAATCAACCCCCAAAAAGTTTTCGAGACGAATTTTTTCGAAAAGAAGTTCTTGTTTGCCTTTTGCTAAATTTTAACTCATGGATGTCCCTTACATGTTTCGAATCAGCAACAACACCAATGAGTTTGCTCTTTTTCGACTGGGGAGGAGTTAGCAATAGTGTTATGTTTTGTGCTGGTGCTATTACAGTCTGTATATCATATGCTGTAATAGGTATTGCTAACCGAAAAGTCACCGACAGGGTTATTTTGCTGATTGGTTGTTCAGGCGTAATAGTTTGTTATCTAATTCTTAACGTCTATTCTACCGTCTTATTTCTTCAAGAAGCTGTTGGCCACGTTCAATGGCTTTTGCCCGTATTCTGGACTGATTGGATTATTTTGACAATATCATTTCCGCTTATGAATATTTCCATAATTTCACTTTATTCGAAGATAACTTCCATTGAAACACAAAGTTTTAATCAGGGAGCATTATTAATGTTTGCTGGCGCTGGCAGGATCGTTGGCCCACTGTTGTCAACCTCAATGGTAACTATTGAGCGTCTGCCTATTCTGAGTGGCGTGGTACTTTTTTTATTGCTGGTGTCAATGATTGTATTGTGTTTCACATATAAAAAACTCATCCCTGCAAAAATATCGACTCAAATGAATGTTTCAACACTTGACAAAAGTCTAGATGTGGACGAAGAAACGTCTTTGTTGAAATAGGTCAATTAATTATATTTTTCTTGAAGGTTACGATGCCAAAAAAGACTGCTTTTCGCAATTTCTGATGCTTGAAAGGTGATAAGGCAATATGCGCCACGACTGCATGGTTAATGGTGCTCAATAATTAATCTCTATCAATTTCAACTATATTATAATATGATATTAATCATAACATTGTTTGCATTTGAGTCAAATATAGATGGAAAAGAAATGCAATACTGCATTCTAAACATTTTATATATAAATATATATTTATATATATATATATATATGTATTGCTGTGGCAATTTCGATAATTAGTTGTATACACAAGTCAAGCTTGCTTTTGAAACAATTGAATATCATTTCCTTTTCAACTTTATTGCTTCCGTTCCACGCTCAGTTTAGTACATTTTGTTCGTCCCATCCATGGAGCAGCTAGCTCAGTTGCGTATTTGAATGTGGTGGTTGAACATTACAAATTTAGCAATCCTTTTTATTGTATGGCAAAAATTAGGCCATAATTTTATTCCGATTTTTCTATTTTCCTATTTTATTTCTACTACGAGTTCGAGACTGTTTATGTCAGCCAAGTGAACAAAATTAATTACCTCCATATTGGTACACACACTTCTGGGGAGCCCTTTTTTCGACACTTTCCGATCCACATTTGGTTTTCGATCAGTTTTTATTGTGATTTCAGCACAATATCTATTTTTTTGTTTGGTATAAAATTGAGAAAAGAAAGAATGTTTATTTTCGAAAATTCCGTTGTTGTTTATGTATTTTGTCATCAAATACAGCACACTTATACTGCCTGTTATGAAATACACTCAAATAAACCTGAACTGCCAAGGACTGAGAATATTGAAATATGTCTTGATTTTTGTCAACATGTCTATAGGTGCACAAGTACCCACCTTTATTTAAATTATTGTTGTAGGATTTGAACTTACATGTCCCTAGCATACTCGATGCGTGACAATTTGCGTGAGCTATAGCTATTGCCCAAGATATCGTTCACTATCGTTTAAAACAAAACTCTTCGTAAACATAATGTTTGCATAATTGTACGCATGCTTATTAGGCACAAAATGAGGTTACATGCTTTCGATACTAGGAAAATTTATGTCAGACAACATCCGCAACGTAAAAAGAATGAAAAATAACTGTAAAACACCATCCCTTATAATAATGCTGGATAAAAATTATTTTCCAAAGCAATAGAGTCACAAACGTCTTATTGCGTTGTACATCCCACTTAGACTTAGCACATTTGCGCCCACTCACATTCGAGCCCGTAGACTGCCCTCAGAACGTTTGCATCTGTATAGCTTCAAGCTCACAACCATTTGCACCCTCGGACAATAAAACGCATCCACATTAATTTTCACTTGCGAGTATTTGATTTCCATATATTAAATGTGGACTAAGATGAATTATAAATTGCGTGTTCAATCTTGGTTACGGTAGCCACGTTTTTAAGTGATAATTATATCCCAATGTTTTCTATGATATGTCCTTATGAAAATTAGCCCCAAATAAATACACGGTGTAAGAGCAAACCAAATAAACGTGGTAAACACGCTTCAATAATCAAACGAAGATAAGAGACCATAGAGCGATGCTCAATTATACAGACACGAAGACCAAAACGAGGCAGTATGAGTATCTAATCTTATTCCACAGGGCCCACGGAAATTTTTTGAAATAAATTGAAGGAAAATTAATTAAGTAATACTGGAAATTTCAAATCAACAATTAGTCCATTATTCAAAGAGAAAAGCGATATTTCATAAAAACAAGAGTAAAATTCAAACAATAAAATAACAAAACGACCCATAGGCCCATTTCGTGTCCAACAAGTAGAGAACGGTAAATTTAATAGCAAAATTTGTGTCGTGCAAGTTACTCGGGAAAATTCAGGCTTATTTTGTATTGTTACGACTGTTTTATCGTATTGCTTGAACTGAGTTATAGCAATAATGCCTAGTTTACTTTAAAAACTGGTAGGATTGTCCCCGTCGAGCCATGATAAAAAAAAATAATTGACATTTTGCATGAAACACAAAATTCCTGCAAAAATGATTATCGATCCGAATGCCCATTAGAGCATATGTTTTTGGGTGTAAAAATTTATGGATGTCCTCGGGTTAAATAAACTTGAGTAGAAATATCCATGGGTGCAAATATCTGTGTTATATTTTTTAAAATAAATGAAATTTACAGGTCAATTTCTTGCATTCTAAAAGTAACTCTTTTTAAATAGTTTTTGGAAATTTGAGCAAGATTAAATAAATTTGTCTTTCTTTCAACACCTCCAATAATCAAAATCTAAAATATCTGCTTCTCTTTAAATATAAGATTCAAAAACATACTACAGGCTGAATCTGAAAGACTGTTATAGCTAAATGAAACTAAACCAGTCATGTCAATATAGTGGATGATGACAAAAGTCTGAACAGTTTAACCTAAATCAAAATGTTTACATTTACTCTTTGTGCTCGCAGTTGTAATAATAGTCCCTAAAATATTTCTCCGCTTTTCCCCCTCAAATAGATGACGCTCAAATATAAAAAAAAAAATAGGTTGCGAGGTTGGCGGGCCACAAACCTACTGAGGATGTCTCGCGGCCCGCAGTCGGAGAAAACCCAAAAGTGATCAAAACTTCGCGAGTTTAATCACTTTGAATATATTAAAGAATAACAGTTCACCGTCCCAATTAGTTTTTTTGAGGAAGATGTATAAAGCCTTTAGGTATTTCAAAATTGCTTCCAAAAAAAAACCGTGGTATTTTTGGTATATTTTCTCGTGTTTGGTTTTGTAATGTCGATTAAAATCACATTCTTTCGTGACAGATATTACTTGAAAACACACCAGACACTGTGCATTAACGTTGTTGTGAGTAAGGAATTAGGTTTCCTCCAAGTTTTCTTCAGTCACCTTCTTTACACTCATTTTATATATGATAAATTGTTATATTTGACTAATTTTATCACTTACAGCGGGAGAAGGCCAGGTTCTGGCGTCAAAGGACTCCGGACCAAGCTAAAACACTGCATCGCGCAGCGCTAAGTCAGCTCTGCGGTCACTGCTGTCACATGGCCAACGCTTGAGATAGAGGAGTGTTTTTACTAAAATAAAGGGATAAAACGTTATTCTTAATGAGGAGTTACTTGACGCGTGCTTAGTACGAAATTAAGATGAAAATCACGATCATCTCATCGGTTTCGTCATATCTGCACAAGACAATTCGTTCTCCTTGTACCTACCACATGAATTCATTCCCATATTGGCACCGTCTTGACGTTTGTAGTTACAACAATGAAATTCCGTAATTTTAACAAACCTCAATCCCGACATCGTGATTAGGAAAAGGGCTATTCCCAGTTGAAAAAGTTTAAATATAACCTAAAATGTTCGGCCAATAAATACAAATATCTGCCAATGGTTTGGTGCACGCTAAAATTGTTCTGCGGGCCGCGTTGAATGTGTCTGTTGGCAGCATGTGGCCCGCGGTTTGGACCACCCTGATAGTGAACCCGATGTGTATAACGTCGGATGGGGTATAACAAAATATCTTAGTTCCGAATACTTGCCCATCTGGACCCTTCGAATTCTCGAACGTTTCAATTAATCGATTAATTTGTCAAAACATCGCCATTGATTACATTACGTCATTTGCTTGATAGGAAGTTATAGAAAATTAGACACAGTTAATATATTCATTGTAATATGTTGGACCCGTTGATAGTAACACGTAAGTTCATCACGACAGTCCAAATTGTTCAAATATTATTGTCGGAGGTTGTGACTTTGCTAATGCAGCTACTCATCTCGTATTTGTACAATTACAGGATTAGATACTTTGTGGAAATCAAAAGAGTAGCGTGGGTAGGGCATATTGCTTATTCACCACCAATAGAAAAGTGAATGAAGTTGGACCTGTGGAGGAAATATTCTTAATTTGAATAAATATAATTGAGTTTGAATAATAATATTAAAACATTTCAGTCTATGTTCTACTAGGTGAATATTTTCAGCCTTCGGTAATTTGTTAAAGTTTTTAAGCTAAAGTATATGTACAATGATTTGTGCTTTAGCAAATTGTGGCCGACTACTTTGCGCTGGTTTATTCTACTTTCTAACTGGAGTTGAATTCGCTGTCATTCTACCGACATTAAATGAGTATCTTATATATATGGATGGACCTACAGGTTTTCATGGAATTATCATGTCAGCTTTCAGTTTTGGTGGAGTTGTGTCAGCACCCATATTTGGGCGAATAGCTGATAAGACAGGCGCAAATAAATTGTGCGCCATGGCCAGCTGTCCATTTGAGATTGTGGGGAATTTTCTGTACTTTGTAGGTAAAGATTACAGAATATTATTAGGGGCAAGACTTATAGCTGGACTAGGAGTTGGAGCCAGCTCTTCTTATCTTGGCATGATTTCGAAGACGACAACGACAAAGCAAAGAACTGGAGTTATATCAATGATAGTTTTCATGAGAGAAATGCGTGTTATTATTGGCCTGGTTTCAATTTGATTTTAAATCAATTAGATTTCAGGCTTGGCCTCTTCCCTGTCAATAAATTATCTTCTCCTGGACTTCTTCTGGCCCTCATGTGAGCGTTACAAACATTGATCGTGTTAGCCCTGTTTAAAGATGTTCCTGAGGAATTTTCAAGGGAAAGTGTTTGCGAACCGTTACAGAAGAAAAGCAACTGTTTACAGAAAACTGTTGTTTCTAAAACTACGACTCCAGCAAATCAACCCACAAAAAGTTTTCGAGACGAATTTTTTCGAAAAGAAGTTCTTGTTCGCCTTCTGCTAAACTTTAGCGCATGGATGTCTGTGACCTGTTTAGATTCAGCAATAACGCAAATGACTTTACTCTTTTTTGGCTGGGGAGAGATTAAAAATAGTTTATTATTTTGCGGTGGTGCTATTACAGTTTTCATATCATATGCTGTAATTGGCATTGCTAACAGAAAAGTCTCCCACAAGGATTATTTTGCTGATTGGATGGTTTGGTTGGACATTGTGTTATCTAATACTCAATGTTCACTCCACTGTTTTATATTTCCAAAATAATGTTGTCCAGGCTAATTGGCTCTTGCCACTATTTTGGACTAATTGGTTTATTATGACAATATCTTTTCCGCTTACGTTTATTACTATAATTTCACTTTATTCAAAGATAACTTCCATCGAAACACAAAGTTTTAATCAGGGAGCATTATTGATGTTTGCTGGCGTTGGAAGGATCGTTGGCCCTTTTTGTCAACCTCAATGGTAACTATTGAACGTTTGCCCATTCTGAGTGGCTTAGTACTTTTTTGTTTTGCTTGTGTCACTGATTGTATTGTGTTTTACGTATAAAAAACTTATCTTTGTGAAAACATCGGCCCAAATGAATGTTTCAACACTTGACAAAAGTCTAGATGTGGACGAAGAAACGTCTTTGTTGAAATAGGTCGATTAAAATGCTTTTCGCCAATCTCTGATGCTTGAAAAGGGAGAAAGACAATATGTGAC